AAAAAAAAAAAAAAAAAAAAAAAAAAAAAAAAAAAAAAAAAAAAAAAAAAAAAAAGAAAAAGAAAATCTACAAAAATTCATACATGCTTTAAGTTGTTAAAGATGGCATTCAAAATAAAAAATCATTAAATTCAAAGATGAGTGAAGTCTATACAAAAATCCTTAATAAGTCATAAAAACTTTAAATCAAATGTGATATAACCACCCTAAATAATATTAATACATTAAATTATTTCTAATGCAATTACATTTTGTTGTTGTTGTTTGTTTGAAACTAAGTCTCGCTCTGTCACCCAGGCTATAGCACAGTGTCACAATCTCAGCTCACTGCAACCTCTGCCTCCTGGGTTCAAGCAATTCTCCTGCCTGGGTCTCCCAAGTCTTTGGGAGTAGAGGCACCGCCACTATGCCTGGCAAATTTTTTTGTATTTCTTTTTTTAATAGAGACAGGGTTTCACCATGTTGGCCAGGCTGGTCTTGAACTCCTGACCTCAAGTGATCCACCTGCCTTGGCCTCCCAAAGTGCTGGGATTACAGGCGTAAACCACCGGGCCCAGCCTGGAACTACATTTTAGGGCACTGCAATGTAACACAGTAACTCTCTTCACAGAAGTTTCTCTCTGACTTCAAACAGCTAATGAGTTTCAGTATTTTAAGATAGGTGTGTCTTAATATACTGCCTCATAGGTGTGTCACGAGAAAAAATAAAATAATGCAAAAACATGTTTACTTTTTAAATACATAAATTATCAAATCTACTTTCTAGGAGTATAGGGTATAAAAAAACTTTCAAGAATTATGTAATTATCTGTCACAAATTTTAAACATGACTGCCAACAATTATATGTGAAAGAAAATATAATAAAAATGATGTGATTGTAATCCATTCCAACCAAATGAATTCTACAGTACCTACATTTGCACATTCTTCACACATGACCGTGCTAGTTAATTCACCAATAAAGATCCGATCTATGAAGTTCATTTTCACACCTTCTTTTCCATATGCTGTAAAAGTCATACTTTTTAATGCAAAAAACATGTCAACCATCCATCTAACAGTATACTATGCTATCTTCTGGTTATTCAAAAGAAAGTAATGTGAATAAGATAATCTGTACTACATGTAATAATATATACTATATATACAATGTTCTAATGTCTTCCTCCTTTATGATTTTGTAGAGGAATTACAACTATCAACTACTTCAGTCTCCAAGAAATAATTAACTGTTTTTAAGAGGTAAAACAAATAAAGCAATAACCACTATTCATACCACACCTCAACCACTCCCATTAAAACTTATAAACCCTCATGTCTAACCTATAAGTATACAGAAGAATAGAACAGGAGATTATGCTATCAGGACTAGGGATGCCAGGATCACGGCTATGAAAATAACAGAGTCGTAAAAGGCAAGTGTAAGGAATTAACATAGGAAATTAAGAACTCAGTTAAGAACATGGTTACATTTTTAAAAGTTAAAATTATTCTCCTCAGGAAATATTTATAAATTTTAAAAAGCATGCCTATGAGTTGCTTTAAAATAACCTGAGGTTGGGAGAAAATAGATTAAACATAAACCATGAATGCAGTTTAAGTTGGGTAAAAGGTGTAAGGGGATGTATTATACTATTCTCTCTACTTTAATAAAAATTTGAAACTTTCCATCGTAAACCATGGGAGGAAAAAGTATATTAACAAACCTATTCACTCCTCTTTCAAACTTATTTTTTGAGCCTTAATCTTCAAGTTTCATAGAAATAATATTTCAAGGCCGGGCACGGTGGCTCAAGCCTGTAATCCCAGCACTTTGGGAGGCCGAGGCGGGTGGATCACGAGGTCAAGAGATCGAGACCATCCTGGTCAACATG